CCCCCACCCCCACACACAGACTGGAGTTCATAACTAAACAATGATATATTGTTCATTTGAACAATCAAAATTACCTTAACATCATCAGGTTCCACAACTGTAATGATTTTCATGAAGATACCAATCAGCATATGGATGTTAATAATCACAGTGTTCTTCAATTTCTTGTTAGTGGGCGAATACAGGATGATTCCAAGATCATTAAGGTAATTGAGGACGTGGATGACGTTGTCTTCATTTATACCACATTGATCAGCAATCTTAGCGATCTAAAGTATTAAGGAACATTTAAATTGGAGGAGCTATCACAAGAACACAAAATAGATTAATCATTTACAGTAACAGATTCTAGATACGATTATTAAAATTGCAAATGCAAATATGTCCACACGAGAGAAATGTTCAAGCGAGAGAAATGTAGATGTTTCGTCGAACTTACGCCAATACTGTATCATTACTGGAGCAGTCTATATGAAAATGAACAGAGGTTAAAGTGCTGTAAAGTACTTATCAGAGAAATGATCAGCTTCGTACGGCCTACCTATGGGGTGCATGGTGAGGGGTGTGCAGGGAAAGGGCATATTTTATGGGCGCAGTTAAAAATCACCTTATTTTGCAAGTTAATGCCACTCATCTAATCATCGAGCTCCCACATCCCCACCTTTAATCGTGACACCATCAACTAGCGGCGTAGCTAGTGCGAAAGGGCCCAGTGCTAGTCTAATTTCCGGGCCCTTTAATGTGATATGGAAATTCCCTAAAGTGTCTCGGATTCGTAACTATTTCAAGTTATACAACTATAGGTTGAAAAATTTAACAATTGCAGTGACGGTTTGAGAATTCGAAATAGAAGGGCCATTGAGTAAGTGCTTATAAGTACCGGTAGTATGAGGGGCCCCCCCCCCCTTTTCAGTAGGAGCCCCGAGAGCTCACAGGCATTACGCCATTGGAGGAACTTCCATACAAGGAGAGTTTAGACAATCTCAGAACAACCATGTTTGGGGCTGAGGTAATATAATTTATTATTATAGCACCACTATGATAGCCAGAAATGGCACTCTCAGACTTAACTTTTAATATAATTTCCCATTTTTCCAATTTCTTTTATAATTTTGAAAAAAAAAAAATAGGGGGAACCGGCTAGAACACCCTTGAATACACCAGATTTAAAATCAACACAGATAATCAACAATTACTAAAAAAAAACCAACTTAATATTATTGAGGGCCCGTTGGAAATTATTTTAAATTTAAAATTATTATATCTATTCTAATTATGAATAGGCCCCTAGTAGCCCCGGGTCCCAGTGCTTTGCACTCGCTGCACGGCCCCCGTAGCTACGGCACTGTCATTAGCCCTCCCCGCCCTCTGAACAGGCCTCCCCCATTTCAAGACTCCTAGATATGCCACTGAAAAAGAGTACCGGTAGTAATTACATTGAGGCTTTTCATGATACTATCTAGCCGATAATATAGGTTGAAAAATTTCCACACGAATAAAATATACGAGCAGTACTTGGTAAAGACAACTTGATTTCTTGCTTCGAAACAATATGTATCCTTTCGTAGAAGTCTTATGAAGATAAGCCTATCCAATAGTGATGATCAAGGTCGGGATCAGGACATACCTCCGACTTTAGATTGAAATATGTTAAATAAAGACACAATGTATACATGGCCTAGGTATAATAGAGTCCAGTTAGAATATGTAATTATGTATCGAATCGATACATTCATATTAATATTATTAATGATACAATGACAGGTGGTAAAATATTAATTTAGACACCAAGTGTCCCGTGTATGAAATGTTTGCTTGTAAAGGTATTTAATATTGCTTATCGCCCCCCACCCACCCCCACACACAGACTGGAGTTCATAACTAAACAATGATATATTGTTCATTTGAACAATCAAAATTACCTTAACATCATCAGGTTCCACAACTGTAATGATTTTCATGAAGATACCAATCAGCATATGGATGTTAATAATCACAGTGTTCTTCAATTTCTTGTTAGTGGGCGAATACAGGATGATTCCAAGATCATTAAGGTAATTGAGGACGTGGATGACGTTGTCTTCATTTATACCACATTGATCAGCAATCTTAGCGATCTAAAGTATTAAGGAACATTTAAATTGACGGAGCTATCACAAGAACACAAAATAGATTAATCATTTACAGTAACAGATTCTAGATACGATTATTAAAATTACAAATTCAAATATGTCCACACGAGAGAAATGTTCAAGCGAGAGAAATGTCCACACTGGAGAAATGTCCACGCTAGAGAAATGTCCACACTAGAGCAGCTATGAGTCGGATAAACTGGTGGTAGGCACAGTGTGTGCGCCGAACCGTGGGGATAAATCTGTACATAGGTCACCTGGTTCAATTCACATCGCTGCCCTCCTTGTGTTTCAGCTGAAGGGATGAAATGCAACCACCAGCGTAGGCCGTTCGTCCCGTGTGCAAAGGGCCCATATGCATGTTAAAGAACGGAAAAGATTAGGAACTTGTTACTCGATGTGCTGCTAAAAAGTAAGTCTCATGATTTTCGTCGGTTATCCTTGTTGTGCATCACATCGGAATAATCCAATGAAATCCAATATCAGTTTTCAATAAACGTAAAAGTAGGGTTTAAGTGTATGACGAAATCAAGCCCAATTTTGAAACGTTCAGATCCTGTCTCTTATACACATCTAGATGTGTATAAGAGACTTATCTAAAGACATGCGCAGAGTTGTTTTCCCGGCTTCTTGTACCTCAATTTGGAAGTCCATCCAATTTATTGGAACAGTTCTTGCCATTGACTTCATGAAACCGCCTACTTTTATTTTCAGTCTTTCAATTCCTTCATCCAGTGCTGTGGTGTTGTCTACAGCATACATCTCGCGATCTACGTGACGTTCGTATGGCTTCCCTTTGAGTTCTTCTAAAATTTTGCCTAATACGACATCAATCTTTGAATAAAATTGAATAGTATATGTAATGAAAATATTTATAGATTTTAAAACAAATAATATCATCCCATTAAACACTCACGGATTAACAATATCTCACCTTTGCCTGCTTCTCAGCATCACTCCCCGTGAGTAGGTCCTTGTGCGTCCCAATCAGACTAATCGTCGGTGATGCGATAATTCCATTGATCAAAGGTTTCTCCTCTGAGTCACGTAGCAGTACAGCATACTCATAAATCAGCCTTATCCAAAATATGATCATTTGCAGATTTGTCATCTCAAAATGTCCCTGCATATAAACAATATTGTCAGCATAATTAAAAATAGGGCTATGGATAAATTGATATACAATTAATTACAGGCTGAAAATAATTATTTCAGGAATGGGTTTTTTCCACTCAATGCATTTGATAATTTGTTTTACTTTTTTCTTTTTATTGATTAGACTAAATAAAGTTAAACAATTGAGTTCCTTAAATTAGAATTAGAATATTTAAATGGTTTACTTTTTTGGGATCTCTTCTTTTTGCCAGTTTATCCAAAGCATCTACCAAACTGAAAACAACTCCATAAGAATTTCCATCTGTAATAAAAATCTGGAAAGAAATAGGATATACAAACTGTGAGAAAGTATTGTATTTATAACAAAGAGAGGTAAACAGTGGCGTATCTAGGAATCTTGAAGTGGGGAAGCTGATTGGAAGCCCGAAAGTGAAGCGGGAAGGGGTGGGGGACTCGATGATCAGTTGGGGGCGCTAACTCTCAAAATAAGGTTAATTTAGGTGTTTTTTAACAACGCACCACTTGAACATGATTGCGTTTCTAACACCCCCTCCACGCCACTGCTGCAGTAATTTCAGCAAATTAATATTTTGTATTCAATGCAGTGCAATTGTTATACAACACACTGGTACTGGTACGGGCATTTATAATGCGCCTCTTTCTTGCGGTTATAAAGCGCAGTTCCTTTCCCTGGTCATTGGGTCCACATGCTAAGTGTTGCTGCTGGTAATCAGCACAGGAACAGGCAACCCCACCAGGTAACCATTGATACTCCTGGGTGGAGAGAAGCAATGCAAATAAAGTGTCTTGCTCAAGGACACAAGCGAAATGCACAGCGAGGGATTGACACCCGTTCCCCGCTGCGCCAAACTGTTTCTATAAACACAATATCATACAATCACATCCTTTCAGTACTGCGTGCATAATGATGATAGATTTTAGCAGCAATGCACAAATTAGTGATTGCGTAACTGTATAAGGATTTGTACTGATTGTGCTACACAAAAAAAAAATATATATATATATATATATATAGGGGCTTAGTTTGTATACGCTTTGCGATCCATAGTCATAACGCGCGTATAATCGTTCACTTTAAATCTTTGAACTGCTTGTTTATCCTTCATACATTTTTCTTCGATTTTAAAGCCTCTGCTTCCATAAAAATCCACAAGCAAACATGGAAGATTCAGAAATTCAACGTCTTATCGTTTTATAAAATCCAAACGCGAATCTAGATTCCACCCCTGGAATCGCCACTTACTCGGTGAGTAATGAAATATTCAAGTTGGCCGGCATAGTCCCATATGCAAGTTACATCACTCGGTTCAGAACTCTTGTTGGCAAGTTTGTCGATGACTTTCTTGCGCATTTCTTTAAGTTGATTGGTCGATACTCCCATTTCATGAAGCAGACCGATAGATTCTCCCCTGTCTTCAGATATAGTTTCTTCTGAAAATAATTTGATAGTTAAATCAACATCGACAAGGGTGACAACACATTTTTTTAAATATAGGTCTATAAAGACATGTTTCGACGTGTCACACATCATCATCAGGTGATAATGCTTAAGCTACTACCGGTTTATATACTACTGGTCAGATGTAGTCATGTATGTAGAGGCCGTGAATACTATGCTAAGTCATGTATATAAGAATTAGAATGAAAGAGTGATATTGTAATGAATTGTTTATTTTTTAATGTAATTTATTGTGGTGATGACGGAAGTTGTATTCATTGTTAAGATGATGATTGTGATAATAATAAACGATGATGATGGTGATGATGACGATGATGGTGAGGGTGGTGATAACTTTAATGATAATGCTGATAATAATGATGGTTAACATGTTGAGGATGATACTGATGACAAAGAAGATGATGATAATAATGATAAAGATGATAAAGAGGATGATAATTATAATTCTAATATTATTATCGTTGATATTTTACACACATTACACATAGGCCTATCGAGGAAACAGGAATGCTTTATTTATTCCACAATTCAAAATCAAGTAAGCGATCTTAGTCTAGATTTAACGCAACCAATTTATTATTGGCAATGAAAATGAAGGTTGATTTGCAATCTCATGTGTAGCATTAAGTTGTTAGAATATATGTTGAATAAATAAATAATAAATGGTGATTTTTTTTTTGTACTGCTGGTAAAAAAAATTACCCCTGCTGCAAAATCGCCTCTGGTTATGTTTTACATCTCCCTGGTCATAACGTCGGCATTCTAATATTTAACAAAGGGCCCAAAAAACTGTTGAATGCATAGGTCTCAAGTCACTCACACCCAATGCCAATAAATCGTGCTTTATTTAGGCTAGGCTAGGGCAGGCCTAGCCTAGTCTAGATGAGACCAGGGCCTAGGCTAGCCTGCATGTAGCACTGAAGATCACCAGTATTTAATTATTGAATATAAAAGTTGAACATTTTTAAAATATCATGATGAGAACATAATATGAATATAAGGTAGTATATTAAATTATCAAACGATCATCTGTTGAGATAGTATGCCATCCTGTAGTGTTGGGGAGGGGAGGGGGAATGACTTGGGGATCATCTTAATAATCAACACTCTGTGACTCACTGCATGTGAAGAGAGCTGAAAACAAGCTACAATGTACTTTGGGCTGCGGTACCTCTTGTGCAGAGATCGTCTCAAAAATTCCGTTTTTTAAATAAAAATGTTTTTCAAATTTTTCACTAGACAACCGGGTAACATGAGTAGTGAATAGGCTAGCTATTTTTACTAGACGTTGTACGCCGGGCTAGCACTAAATCGAGCCCTGGATCTAGATTTAATGCTACCATAGGCGTAATGCCTATGCGGCCACGACCCCTAGTGTCCCCACCCATATGGTCCTCGATCTATAACTTTGACCAAATAAGGTTTTATGGATACATAATAGCATAATGTATCTCTGACATCGAATGTGGGACATAGGCCTATATCATAAGCCTACATATATTGTGGAGGATTAAAGGGCGTCCTGCCGGCCCGGGGCCCCAGCTGAATTTGTCATTTTTTTTTTTTTTTTTTTGTTTAATGGAGATATTTAACAATTTTAAATCT